TTTGACGAATATCTTTGCAGTTGTCATTACTTAGGCATTTACATCCCTCTGTAATGAACGTTTCTTTAACTTCAACTTGCTTGGTGAACTGTTCTTGTCACATATCCCCTAAAGACGGAAATAACGTAATCTGAAAAATGAGGCAACTTTTAAATAGTTCATATGCTCAGAGTAAACCCCTTAATAGCCATCAACTCAGTGAATCAATATTATCGTATTTACAACACAGGCGGCTTACTAAATCTCACAAGAAGAACGTTTTACCAGAGAACAATTTCATGAGAGGCGCGAACCGTGAGGGATTGATGTCCAGGGTCTAGCGCCGTTACAACAGACGGTTGGAGTGATTGAAAGGCATTAGAATCACTAGAGCAGTTCATACAATTCGTCCAGGTGATCAGACTGTCCATTCTGTAAGCCCTCGTATATGTGAACGCACTGAGACAAACTTCCATGATGCTTCTGTTGCCACTTAGTTTATTATCGAAGCTGTCTCCTACACCCTCTAGTTGCAACGCAGCTTTGGAATTTACGACCTCACTTCTGGCAGGTCGTTTTCATCTCATTCTGTCACCGTTATGGGGCTATATATTGCAGGAATATCGGTGAAGGATTGGCTGAACCCGTCCTCAACCACCCTCGAGAGAACCTCCGGCTGCCTGTCCACTACTGCGTAGTTGTTACAGGTGACCTTCATATCTGAGGTTTGCTCCTCTACCTGCACATCTGGAACGCGCCAGATGGTCTGCAACTACGCTCACTCAAATCTTTGATGGTGACATTGCGCTTGATGGAAAAAGGTAGACAGCAGCAAATATGGATCTCACTGAAGCCGGCTAAACCAGTCATAATGATGATCGTAACAACAACAACTAGCGAGTGATTTAAGGGCACGTGATTTAGGTCTTGGCTTATTGTAAACCTACATTCCTTTTCTTCTAGCCAATAATGCTATTTCTTTGATTTGATATGGGTAAGCAGCATTCCAGAAGGACTCTTGTCAAATGGACCATGTGAAGGTCTTCGTCATTCATTCTTTGCAATAAAGCTAGATATGTATAAAAACAATACGTCACCCGTCCCACTTCATTCCGCACTGTCCCTTAATATCCAAAGTTTTGGGTCCTCGCAGTTCCGTTGGGCGGCTATAGCACCAAAACTTATTAATGCATAACGGCAATAATATGTTGACCCGAGCAACAATCCAGCATGGATGCCAACATTATTCAAACCAAATCTGTGTTTGTAAGCGAAAGCTAGCACTGATCCTTCGGTGTAATAATGACATGTGCATGTCGCCCTGTGAAT